ATATTTTTCTTCTCATGAAGTTTGGTTGATTGTTTTAATACTGGATTTTCAGAATTAAATCTTGCTAGAATTGATATAAACTATGATTTCAAAACTTCAGTCCAACCATGTTAATACCTACCTCTTGCTCCTCATTTTATTTTCTGTTCTCATACTGCATTTGGAAAGGAATTTACGTAACAGCCCTTTTTGTGCAGTGATCTTTCATATAATAACTTCACCATAGGGGACAAAGGTTGTCAATCACAAGGCGGCTTGTAAGAATGTTTTCATTAGCTTGAGTTTACTTTGTTTGTGTCTTGTAGAGCAAACTTAAATTTTCAATTTGTGTTAATTTCTACAGGAACTTGTTTGCAAGCTCTTCAAAGGGCAATAGTTCGTAAGTTACAAATTAATCCTCTGATAGCATTCCAACTGAGTATTCTTATTTTTATTTTACAACTTATTTTCATTTATGATGTTATCTTGCTGACTTCTTCTGGATCCTGCTGCATTCTCCTATCAGAAAAACTGTTTCATGTTTGGGAATTCAATGTCCAAAAAGTAAGTTGGTTTCCACATATTGCTTTCCAAGATATATTTATCTTTGATCTTCTTTTGTTTGGGGGAGTGGGAGACTTGCATGCCCATAGTCTGTTATGAAGTTTCAAAAGAAATAGAAAAGATGGCTACTAATCTCCTTTTTCTTTCCGTCATAGCTTGGTATAATAGAAATAATTGCCATAATTGCCTTTTTCTTCTTCTTCTGGGGTTGATTCATTTTTGTTTTCCTCAGCAATGGCTACTAATCTCCTTTTTCTTTCTGTCATAGCTTGGTACTCTCTCGGTATAAATTGTGGTGGAGAACCAGTAACTGTTTATGGGGAAAAAGATAAAACATTTGATGGTGACACAGATGAAGTTGGACCTTCATCATTCCGCCAGAGCTCAACAAATTGGGCTTTAAGCAGCACTGGTTTCTTTCCTGATAATGCCCGTTCTCAAGACAACTTTACTAATGTTGGGGACACCTTTATTTATAAATTGACCAACGAAATACCCGCTATGGCCAATCCACAACTGTACAGGGATGCACGCCTTTCTCCCATCTCTCTAACTTATTATGGGTTTTGTCTGGCAAATGGAAAATACACCGTAAACCTCCATTTTGCAGAGACAGTGTTTACAAATGGCCAAACATATAAAAGCCTAGGAAGGCGTATATTTGATGTTTACATTCAGGTAGGGGTCACATTACAATATGAAATGTGTTAAATTTCAAAGAGACGGGCCATCAGCCCACTAATGAACTATACTGCAGGGGAGACTAGTGCAGGAGGATTTCAATATTGTGGATGCAGCTGGTGGGATTAGTACTCCAGTCATAATGAACTATACTGCTGCTGTAACTAGTGGTACCTTGGAGATCCGTTTTTATTGGGCTGGGAAAGGGACGACCGGTATCCCTCTTACAGGAGTTTATGGTCCTCTTATATCAGCTATTTCGGCAGATCCTGCAGGTAACTTTACGTTGTGCTGAGCTTCTTATAATTACTATTTGTAGACCATTGGGAGTTTCTCGTATGTAAATATCATGTTAGGCAATTAATATTTTAACAAAATTAAGAGACCCGGCTTTAGTTCTGCAGAGTGCTTGCTTCTTCTGATTTTTTTACTTTTTATTTTCTTTGGGGTGAGGGAGGGGAACTGATAAGGACTGTGTGGTACTCAATAAATTGATCGCCTCCATCGTTGGAGCTCTGAGTCTTTGTTTTTTTTCCTTGTATTGCCACAAAAATGCATCTATGTATTTTTCTATCTACTTATGTTAAGGTTCCCCCAGAGGGTTGAATCTTTTGTTTCTTTGTGTATTATTAGGAAGCTGGTATTGGAGCTCCGAGTCTTTGTTTTTTTTCCTTGTATTGCCACAAAAATGCATCTACGTATTTTTCTATCTACTTATGTTAAGGTTCCCCCAGAGGGTTGAATCTTTTGTTTCTTTGTGTATTAGGAAGCTGGTCTTTTTATTATTATTATTATTTATTTATTTATTTATTTTTTTATCAAATAGAAACTTGATTAGATAAACTTCAACAGTACAATTAAAGACATCAACAAGACATCTAAAATACCAATCCTAAGAGGGCAACAAACTAACATGCTAAAAGCAAAACTAAAGCGGACAAAAGCCGCATTAGAACTACTAGCCAACATCACCACAATTAGCCATAAGCCCAAACAAAGCCCATAAACCCAACATAACCAAAATCCTAAATTAACCCATGAGCCTAAACGAACCCTACCACCACCACATGAAGAAGCGCCGTTGCGGCACCGCATCCGTAACAGATCTGGGGAAAATATGATTTTCAGCAATCTACTTGCGCATAAGAGCGAACAAATAAATGAAAACAACAACTTTGTCAAAAAACAATTGGGTGATTTGCAGCAACCTCTATCAAAGACGATGTAGAATCAAATTTAAAGAACATGAGGGATGTTAGGGAGCGGGTTTTGGGAGTAGAATTTGATTGAGAACATAGACTAAAAGGGGTGATGGGGAACTTCAATCTAACCATGGCTTAGAAGAAACCACTACAAGAGGCTTTTTATTCAAAACGCCCCAGTGGACTTATTCACTAACCTAAAAGGAAAAGAAGAGAAGAGAGGAAGGGGAGGAGGAGTAGTGACACTTCTTTCTCCTCCCCCCTCAAAGGAATTTTCCTTTAAGACTCACAGAGGGAGAGAGCGGCTAGGTTTGATTTCCTCACAGATAAAGTCCAAAAAATATTAGGAAGCTGGTTGAATAATGTACTCTCTTATCTATTACATTGACTCTAATAAAGCTATTCTTCTTCTGGCAGACTTTGAAGCCCCAACCCCAACCCCACCCCCACCAGAAGTTGCAAGTAGCACATCACCTGGTGGAATTGTAGGTGCAGTAGTGGGAATTGTGGCTGGAGGAGTCTTCATTATATTACTGGTTTTTGGTATTCTTTGGAGGAGAGGCCTCTTAGGACAACAAAATACTTTGGAAGATGGTATTTACATGTTTATGCTGTTATAATGGTTTGTCATATGTTTTTTTTGTTTTTTTAATTTCTAACGAATTAATGCTGCTAGAATATATTATCTGTTCAAACTCCTGATGCAAAATTTACCTACCTATAGGTCCACTGGTTAAATTGTTGGCCTTGAATCAATAGCGTGATATGAAAAAATTATATGCTTACCATTATGAATTTCTTTTAGACACAATTTTTTATATGAGTTTGCTTCTTACACAGATTTAAAGGGCGTGGACCTGCAAACTGGTAAATTTACCTTCAGGCAACTTAAAGATGCCACAAACAACTTTGACAAAGCCAATAAGATTGGAGAAGGTGGTTTTGGTTCTGTTTACAAGGTATTCTGCGGAACCAATATTTCTATTTATTTATTGCAGTTGGGCTAACTTGACTAATTGTAAGCATTGTTGTTAAAGTTGCTCTGCCTTTTAGTGAAGGGATTTTGACTTTGTTTCTCAAATGCAGGGCCTTCTATCAGATGGCACCGTAATTGCTGTCAAGCAGCTTTCTTCCAAATCAAAGCAAGGGAATCGTGAATTTGTGAATGAGATAGGCATGATTTCTGCTCTGCAACACCCTCATCTTGTCAAGCTTCACGGATGCTGTATTGAAGGAAATCAACTATTGCTTGTCTATGAGTACATGGAAAATAATAACCTTGCTCGTGCTTTGTTTGGTAAATACTACACTTGTATGCCTAAACTTCATTTGGTTCATGCAGATGGGTATAAAAGATCTTATGTATAAAAGATCTTGTACATAAAAAATGTCCCTTATAACTAACTTTGAGTAATTTGACAAATTGAAGGGCCAGAAGAAAGTCAGTTGAAGTTGGATTGGCCAACAAGGCACAAGATCTGTGTTGGTATAGCTAGAGGTTTGGCTTACCTCCACGAGGAATCAAGATTGAAGGTCGTTCATAGAGACATCAAGGCTACTAATGTGCTGCTTGATAAAAATCTTACCCCAAAGATATCTGACTTTGGATTGGCCAAGCTTGATGAAGAGGATAAGACACACATTAGCACCCGTATTGCTGGAACTTAGTGAGTCCCTGTGCTATTTTTTTATTCTTATACTTTTATTTTGATTTCTTCCACCCCGATGATGGGTCCATAGAAATAGGAAACAGATGGAAGGTTTATACTGTTAAAACAAATTTGAAGGCTTAGTAGTATTTTTCCTATTTCTCTAAGCTAAATATGGGGGAATGATGTGCGGTTTCATGTTTTTGCAGTGGATATATGGCACCCGAATATGCAATGCGGGGTTATCTGACTGACAAAGCAGATGTTTATAGCTTTGGAATTCTTGTATTGGAAATTGCTAGTGGGAGGAACAACACCAGTTACCGTTCAAAGGAAGAAAGCTTTTATCTTCTTGATTCGGTAAGATGATTCTACTGCTTCCTTATTTAGCTTTTTAATTTAATCTGGTACTGTTTATCTCTATTATGTATTTGTGGATGCGTCAGCACATTATGTTTCTCTGAGAGTATTAACTCTGAATAACTAGTAGCACACTGTATTTAACTTCTAGGCACATCTACTGAAAGAGCAAGGGAATTTGATGGACCTAGTGGATCCAAGGTTGGGCTCAGACTTCAACAAAGAAGAGATGATGCGTACAATCAATGTGGCTCTCCTTTGCTGCAATGCTACTTCAACAATTAGGCCTACCATGTCTTCAGTTGTGAGCATGCTTGAAGGCAGGACTGCTGTTCAGATATTGGTCTCAGATCCAAATGCATCAAATAATGAGATGGAAGCAATGATGAAACATTTTGAATCCATTTTGGTCTCAGAAACAAATGCATCAAGTCAAGGTCCCTTGACCGGTTCATCTACATCTGTTCATGATCTCTATCCAGTCATTCTTGATTCAAGTTACTGGGAGAACAGAAATGAGAGAAACTGAGCAAACTGTCTTGACTCTACATTTCGGTTCATATATCATCTCTACTCCCTCTCTATATAGTAGATCTATATATACACACACATATATGATATATGTATATTTTGTTTAGCAAGATAGCTGAAAGAATGTGAAGGAAGTTGAGGTTTCACCCCAAAACCAATTGGCAATGGGGGGAGTGGCCCAACTCCTTATAAACCCAGGCTTGGTCCCTTAACTTTTCAATGTGGGACAAATACTTTCAACAGAATGAATGATCCCAATTGATTGGCCACTTGCAAAAGCAGTGGGAGAATAAATGATAGAGGCAAGAGGAGCTTTTTTTAATTATTTTTTATAATTTGGTTGTGGCTGTTGGGGTAAATTTTGTGGTGAAAATTTATGATGGAAAATTACTGCCACTACTACAAGATTTGGGTTTAGGCACCATTTTTATTTGTGCTCTTAACTTCAAAAGACACAAATAATTGTGCTTTATAATCAAAGACCACGATGCAGCCACTTTTTAGTTGACGGTTTCCCACATAGGAGTTTTCATTGCTAAAGGACACTAATTTGTCATTTGTGTCAGACACTATAGAGCACGAAAAGAGGCATTTGTGCTTGTATTCTGATAAGCTATAACTAAGCAACTTTATCAGTTGATTAGACATATATGTGCAGGCACAACTATAGAATCATGCTCAATACTGAATATTTTATTATTTAGAAGATGTGAATGTAATAGGGTTGATTACTGCATGTTTTTGGGAAAAAACAAATTACTGCATGTTTAATATCAAATGACCCTTTAACCATTCGAATTTGACATCATTTCTCTTTCAAAATTTCTCAGTCTTTAATTATTATACTTTTTTTTATCAACTATTATGCAATATATAATATGATGTTTCATATGATATATGTAAGAGAATATAAAACCTTCGTTTAATTGTTTACAAAAATAAATTGGTCGAATCAAACTACTCACTTAAATGATTGGTTTAGTTCAATTACAAAACCAATTTGAGGTATAAACCAAACTATAAATTTGATGGTACACCTGCCCTGCCCCATTTTTATTCTTTACCCATCTTAGCTAATGCCACTTGAACTAAAACTCTTGTCACAAGAGCAATTCCACCTCAATTTATTTCGTTTAAAGGTTTCTTACACAAGGAAACAAAACAAAGGACAAAGTTGTCCAATATTGAATTTCCACAAATTTAAAAAAGTACACATGATCTTGATACAATTGGAATATTAATTTAATGTAATGTGACTCTAAAGAGACTACTCAGCCAGCACCCCTTCATCTTTTTTGGGACTCAAGCTTATCTTTCTTCGACCTGGGATCTGAAGCTAAGCCTATGATTCCTATCCCTGTCAATAAAAAAAAAATTAGATTTTTTTACTAATGATATTGTTTGCTGTATTTTCTAGAAAGTGATATTTTTTTCCTTTCAAATTACAGTTTGATATATATGTAAAAATATTTTATTAAAAATACGAAATGAAAATTACACACAATTTTAAAATAAGAGTAAAAAATGTTCCTTTTACTAATCTTGACTTATCTTTTTTGAATAATTCTTTTTTGACAGCTGTGAATTAAGAACCGTGGTTTTTACCTGCGGCTTCAATTCAAAGTCAATAACATCCCGCTTCTGTGCCATTGACTGGTCGATTGGAATGCTGTAAAGGGAATGATGTGGAATTTTATGTATAGATTATTATATTTTTGAAAACCTTTATTTGGGTGATTACGTGTTTCAGTCAAAATAGCTTTTTTCTTTTTTTTGGACGTGTTTACATGCAGATTTTGAAATTAAAATAATTAATGATTGATGCAAAAGTCTTCTGGAAATATATATAAAAAGAAAAAAAAAGGATGAAAATTCCACGACAAATTCCGTTGGATGACTTGGCTTTTTCCACATCAACGTTGGAGAAAATTTAAGGGAAATTGGCGACTTTACCCCTGGCTCACCTAATTTATTCACTAATATCCTTATTTTGAAACTCAATCACAAATGCCCCTTATAAAAACTCTATATTGACAGCCTATTGCCCATCCTTCACTTAGTTTTTTTTTCTTAGTCGTTGCTCTTGCTCTTGCTGTTCTTCCTTCTCCCAAACCTCACAAAATCCATCTCCTCCATAGAATCTCCCTAACTTTATCTCCTCTTAGTTATATCCACCTCCACCATAGAATCTCCCCTCCCCTCCTCTCTTCTCTCTCTCTCTCGTTCGCACCCACATCGACGACAGTCACTGTCACCTCCTCAGAAACCCTAACCCACATCGGCGACGACCGTCTTTCCACCTTCATCTCTCACTCTCTGTAACCTCTCTCAACCTCCATGCCTAGAGATGGCGTCTCAGGTAACCAGCTTGGCTTTTCTCCTGCACATTTGGGTTTTCTTCTCCTTGTTTCAATTTCATATATGAGTTTGGGTTTTTGGTGCTTGATGTGAGTTCAAGTCCCTCCAAGGCAAACTTGGGTGAGATTGTACAGAAATTTGTTAAAACATAATTGTGGGTTTAATTTAAAATTTTACTCTCTCTATATTTTCAGCTTGTGTAGAGAATGTTATTTCAGTGGGATTATACAAGAACTTTTTGAACCAAAATTTTGGGATTGTGCAGCAAATATTTCTCAGTTTGTCTTCAGGAATATTATGCTTGAAGCTTGTCCAATCTACAATGATTTTGAAGATTTTCTTTTGCTTATTGAATTGGATTACTGAGTTAGGTTTTTATCTTGACAAAAAACAATTGAAGAAACATAGTTATTTGGTTCAATGGTCTCTTGGTTCAATGATCTGAATTTGTTTGTTCTGTTTTGGGATGTGATTTTTGAATGAACTATATAAATTGATTATGTCTTGAGGTGGAGGATATCTCCAAAAGTGACTGTGGAGTTTGTAAGTTTTATGAGAATGCCAATATTTTAACATAAGTTTGATACTCTAAAGTTGGCATATGTTGAATCTTGGTTTTCTCTATTTTTCGTAATTGAATCTTGGTTTTCTCTATTTTTCGTAATTGAATCTTGGATCTGTTTTTGGTGCAGTCTATAGTCCTCAAGGTTGGTATCATGCCATGGTTGTGCTGGTGCCGTGAAAAGGGTTCTTGGAAAACTTAAAGGTTTGTTGATAGCTCTTGCATTTATCCAATTCCATTGTCTTGCTCTTCTTCTTCTCTAAGACTGTGCTTCTTTAACTGTTTGAATAATGCCAAATGCACTATTGATGATTTCCTGATTTGTATTTTTATTCGCCTGCCAAGACACACATTCACTTCACCTATGTTTATAATAACGTTTATATTGCAATTGAGTAGTACGAAATCATGTGCATGAATGTGAACTTTAATTTTGCAATGGTACTATCTTGTGAAAGTTAGCTATATGAAGAATTGGGTCATTTAGAAAAACCAACAATCTGTATGAAGATAGGATTCTTGAAGGTAGTCCTTCATTGGAGAAACCACATATAGATTTCTCAAAGGTATGTATAACTCAGCAAACTTCAAGCTCAGCTCTAAAATGATGTATATCATAATTTTTTTTTCTTCTATTAAAAAATGTATATCATATTGCAGTTTTACATTTATCCATTATATTTGTTGTAGTGCATGTAAATGTATGTGTACGATACTTGTAGTGCCTGTAAATATGTCTGAACTTGTTTTGGTATTGGTTTCTGTTATAAATTTAGGAATTGGTTTTTGTTTTGAAATTGGTTTAAGTTGTGATTGAATGTTATGTTTTTGTTTCCATTGTGATTGAATGATTTGCTTCTAATATGCATTTTTGATCTGTTTTATACAGATGGAAGATTGTCTTGTTTCAAGTGGTAGCATTCTCTTGGGGAGGAAATTGCTAACTTTCAGCTTAAATTCAGTTCTAAGAGGAGATGTGTTGTCAAAATTTTCTAATGTGTTAAAATTCCCGACCAAGAGGAGATGTAAATTTTTTGTTTTTTGCCACTTTCTTATGTATATCTTAAGATGTAATGAGATAACATTGTTAGTTCATCAATTTATGAAAGTCAAGTTAGAAGGAAATTTGTCAATCTCTAGTTTCCATGGTTTTATCATTCCCCTTGCAAAGAAGAAAAAAAAATACAAATGTAACCAAATTAGTGATTTAATTGGCAAATATCATGACAGATATGTATTGCACATGTATAGCCCTTTATTGCTTGTGTATTG